GTCAACAAGGCTAAAGGTGTACTTGCATTTGTGAAACGATGGTCAAAAGAATTTTGTGATCCTTATATCACTAAAACCCTATTTACAACATTAGTTAGGCCAATTGTGGAATACGGTTCGGTGGTTGGGAAGCCAAGGTATCAAATTTACTCAGACAAGATAGAATCAATTCAAAAACAATTCCTACTTTTTGCTTTAAGAAATTTCCGTTGGGATTCTCAATATAACCTTCCATCTTATACGAGCCGAGTAAAACTTATTAATCTTCCTACACTTTCCAGCCGCAGGCAAATGCTAGGTACAATATTTATAGTTAAATTACTGACAGGCTCAATCAAGTCCGAAGCGAAGTTAGCCTTAATGTTCCCTTCCGGATATCAAGACACTTTTGTCTCCTGTTTCTGAAAGCTTGTAAAACTAATTTTGAATCGCACCACCCACTCCGTGGCTTTTGCCAGGATTTTAACTCTCATTCCAGAACGTTTGATATATCAGATCCGCTTTTCAGCATTAAGAAATCGATACTGTCCTCTCTCAATAAATGAATCATTAAAATAAAGACATAAAATCGGCTGATGAATTTAGTTCCGTAGCTGAACAGTTTTAGATCTCGACACTTAACAAACTCCTGCCTATCGTGACTCAGCGCAAAAATTTAAAATAAATACTGGTTCCGTACGTCATGCGGACTGCGCCCGTCGTGCGGATGGGCGGGAATGGAGGGTAAAAACCGTTGGGATTATTATTATTATTAAATAGCCCTTGCGTTATCCACATCTCTACGGTATATCTGTGGCGTGGGTATACAAACAACCCCAACTCCTCATGGTATAGAGCATTTAAATTTTGAATATATAAACAAATAGATTTTCCGGCGTAATGGCGAGGGAGGGAAGCGACCCTGTTGGCGCTCAAACGTGGAAATAAAGCCCGCGGCCATTATTGCTCTTCTTTATTGGTGGACGCTATTTCCTCTTCGAAATGGATATAACGCCCATGGGCGTTATTTCTCTTTTTTTGGGAAATAAAGCCCATGGGCGTTATTTCTGCGGGCCTTATTGCACTCCACCCTTTATTCTATCTAAAGCGTACTCCGTCCTTGGCTTCATAAGAAGAAGTAGGGCAAACTTTACGGACCCGTATACCCGTAACTTTCTATTTAGTGGCTTTGTCCGGTCTATTTTGGAATACGCTGCGTTTATTTGGAGACCTTACCACCAATTTTCCATTGACAGAATTGAGCGTGTCTCAAGTTTGCTCTCTTTTCCCTGGATTTCTCTAATCCCGTCCCGTGATCTTAAACAGCTAGAAAGTAGAAAATCGCTGTCTTTTTTGTTTAGTATTATTATGGGGAAACATACTGTTCATATCTTTTGGAAAGGATTATCTTTTCTGTCCCTTCCACGCAGTAAATTTTCATTCCAGCTTGATAGATTAAGAACTAACTATGCGTGCGATGATCTGGATTTGTCATTATCTAAACTGTGCTTTTCTGCTCAACTTAACTGTGTTTTATAGATTACCTTAGTATTTTATAAATGGTTAATTCCTTAGTAGCAAGAAGTTAGTAAGAACGATTGTTTATTGATTTATAAATAAATAAATAAAAATTTTCCATGGATATGTTAAATAGAGAAGATCAGGGAATAATAATTTATCAAACGGATAGTAGAGCACATAAGAGTTACGAGGAAAATATGAAGCAAATTTCTACTTCATATAATTGGCCCGAAATGCATAAACAGAGAATTGAGTGTTTCAAATAACGAATTAAATCACGAATAATTTATTCAAGAGCAACTTATTCACGAATTATTCAGTTTTTAATTTTTATGTGGGTAATGAAACACCTAAAAATGTTTCTAATACTTGCAGATGCTTTTATGTTTAAGAAAGTCCGAAAAAGCTGCCCAGGTTGGAGGTTTTCTATGTTCTTTGCTAGTGTGAAAACATACCGGATTTGACAAGTTTCGTTTCATGACAGCGTTTTGTTTGATGTAAACTAACTGAAAGGAAACATAAAGCTCAGGTAGACGTAGATGCGCTGAGCTCCAATGTGCATAATTTTCTGTGCGCCTAATTCGGCCATGGTTGACAAACATACATATGTACGTATAATAATAATAATAATAATAGATTGATGCTTACACAATATGTTAGTGTTTGGTCGAATTTCTCCTTCGATTTGTGGAGTGCGCCTTGATGTTGTCCCACAAGGGGGAGGGACCTACAGTTTTGCGCCGACTTGGAACGGCGATTATGATTTTATGAGAAGCTGCTTTTCATGGCTGAAATGCACTCGGAAGTTTTTGATTGCCTGCCGAGGGACGACCGCTATAAAGAAAAACTGTTTCTTTTATTCTTTGTGATCTTAGTCGGAACCGGGCTTGAACCCAGGCCCTGCGGTGTGATAGCGCGCACAGCTAACCACTACACCACAGCAGCCGCTATATGTACATATACTTCAGTTTTTTACCTCATCGCCATAGGGAAGTAGTATGCTTCAGTTGAGTATATTATTAAAACGGTTCCTATCCAATTAATCATCTTGTTCTATCTTAAGTACAATTACGTAAATTAGTCTTATTTACTTCAATTTTTTTATGTTTTACAGATTTGCTTGTGTACCAGCAATGCTAAATTATTCCACAATTTAAGTATAACAAATTCATACATGCGATGCTACGACGGGATTTTAACATTAAATGCCTTTTGTTCCAAATGTCTGAAATTTGTATTCTCTATTTTTATTAAAGAGTAATTACAATACTAGAATGCTGAAATGTCTAAACTTTAAAAATTATTTACAAGTTTGTGCAGTTTGTGGTGACATAGCAGTTTGTCAGCACTATGGGGTAAGGACCTGCGAAGGTTGCAAAGGATTTTTTAAGCGAACTGTTCAGAAAAATTCTTCGTATGTCTGCCTAGAAAACCAGTCATGTCCTGTAGATAGACGAAGACGAAACAGATGCCAATTTTGTCGTTTTCAAAAGTGTTTGATTGTCGGCATGGTAAAAGAAGTGGTACGAACCGATTCGCTTAAAGGACGGCGAGGAAGGTTACCCTCCAAGCATAAATATAATGAATCAATTGGATCATTTGAAAATATATATTTAATAACATCCTTAGTTAAATGTCATAAAGACACATCTCCCGATATAGCTAGTTTGGATTACAAAGCATATATTGAACCTTTATGCTGCAATTTACCTCTCATCGTAAGCGAGTCTGAAAATGTCCGACAGTTTTACAACATACTTAAAACTTCAGTAAAGGCGATACATCAATTTACCTACAGAATTCCAGGCTTTCGCGATTTACCAGTAGCCGATCAAGAACTACTTTTCCAATCGGGCGCCCTCGAAATGTTTGTTTTGAGATTATCATATCGCATACGGCCAACAGATTCCAAATTAATATTTTGTAATGGCGTGGTTATGCATAGAGCACAATGTGAAAGAGTTTTCGGAGAATGGCTGGTTAATATTTTACAATTTAGTAATCGTCTCAACACATTGGGAATAGACATATCATCTTTTGCTTGCATTTGCGCACTAGCTGTTATAACAGGTAATTATTTAAATATTTAGAATAAATTTATGAGAGCCAGGAGACGGTTTCCCAAAAGAAACACGAACGTGTTCTTACAAGACTCAAACTCAACTCTGACTTTGTTTGAAATTATTCTTATTTATAGCATACAATATGTTTATTTTAATCATAATTTCTCAATTGGAATTCATCATTATATTCTATTGTTGAGGAACAACTAATTCGGATTTCATTTATTTAAAAAAATAATATATATATATATTTTGGCGAAGG